TGCGCGTGTGGCCCCTGTTCCTGCCACAGCCGATAGCGCAGGGGAGAGACCGTCTGCACCTTCTAAACCGGTCACTGCGTCTTCCAGGTGGTCCCGCCTCAGCACGCAGACCTGCCTCATTTGTTTTAACCCTTGCACTAGGGCCGCTGGTGGATCCCGCTTCCACTGGCAGGCGGTCGGGTGTCCGCAGCCCTGACCCCGGCAGGCGGTAAACGTCTGTGTTTGTGAGTGCGTCCACACGGCGGGGTTGCCAGTCAGGCAGCGTGCAGTTTTGAATGTGCACAAAGGCTATGTGTGGGGCCTGCGCTAGCCCACCTCCTGTGGCGGGCGGAGGCTGCGGGTCAGGCCCACGTCTCCCCACCATACATGCCTCCCCCAGCAGCACATACCTGCTTTGCAGCAGGGTTGAAGTAGCCCTTGCTGCCGCCTCCACCCCCTGCCCCACATGTAAAGCCGGGGATCACACAACTTCCAGCTCCCAGCCCCAGCACCAGCCTCAGGGACCCGGCCACGGGCTCCCTGCCTCCCATGGCGTGGCTGCCCGGGGCGGGCGCAGCAGGGACCTGATCCTCCAGGCCCCAGTTGTGTTGGGGCTGGGCCTTTGCTCTCAGGCCCACCCCGTCCCACTGCTGGGGTCTGCACCCCAGAGGCTGACCTCTGCTGGCCCGGGTCTGGTCAGCTGGGGCTCTGGCAGGAGACTGGGGAGAGGGCATGAGGCCTGGTGCCCCCTTCCCTCACTGTGCTGCAGGCAGCTCTCCCGGTATGGCCGTGTCTCCTCCGGCCCCTGGTCCGGCTTTTCCCGGTGACCACGGGCCGCGGGCTGGGCCCTCCTGACAGGCTCCTGTCCTGATTCCTGCCTGGCTTGCTCCTTCAGCTCCATGGCACCTCCCCTCCCCTATGTTAACACCTCCCTGAATGAAATTTCCTGCTCTTTGAAGGACGGCAGTGGTGTCTGTACAGAACCAGCTAAGAGCCCGGGGGTGGGTGGCCTGGGGAACAAGGGGTGACCGGTCCAGTGCTCCGCCCCCAGCTCACCCCTTTAATGTGGTCGCTGGCCTGACCTCAGCAAGTCACAGGTCATCTTAAAGACACAGGAGCCACGTCTCTGTGCAGGGCGTGGGGATGTGGGTGGGAGACCCCACCCGATGCAGGCCCGTGGGCGCCGGTTCTGACCCCAGCAGTGCCCTTCCACCAGCCAGGGAGCTTGTTTCTGCCTGTCCTCAGGGCTGTGGACTCGATCCCATCCCTGGAACGGGACATGCGCCTACAGCCTGGACTCCGTGCAGGGGGATGCTGGCTGCATGTTCCCACAGAGCTACACCTGGTGGAGCCCAGGGACTGTCCCCGAACCCTGGAGGCCCACGGAGCCACATGCTCCTGCTGTCCACGGGCTGAACGAAGGTGGATGTCTCAGCCGGGGTCAGCTGGTGTGAGGGGTGCTGGCTCATGAGAGCCTAGATTCTGGCAGCCGGGAGACTGGACGTCGAGGAAGAGCCACGCGGGTCAGGAGCAGTGAAGGGCTGAGTGTGTGCACAGCCGGGGGTGCCCCGCTTACCTCCTGCACTCTGCTCCGCCTTAGGCTCCCTTGACAACTGGCCTCCCAGCCAGTCCGGCTGACGAGAGACGGGCACGGGGGGTGCCGCTCCGCTGTCCCCCAGGCACTCCTGCCCTCGGCTGGGTCCCCTGTGTCCCCTGCTCCAGCGGCAGGCTCCCTCCCCGGCCCCGCCCTGCTCCCGTCCCCTCCTCCCCTGGACCTTCCTGCCCCACAGGGGTGGAGGCTGTGCCTGTTCCTCGGGGTCCTTCATGGCTTTGGTTTCCAGGGACACCCACACCTGGTGACCCAAGTCCCATGTCGAGGCCTGTCCACTGAGTCACTGGGAGGGTCCTGCTTTCCTGTCTGGAGCCCCTGACAGGGCGACCAGGTGGTGAGGCAGAGATGCAGGGCCGAGGGAAGGAGTGTGGCTCTCATCTGGGGCGGGCGCCATGGAGGGAGTGAGCTGGGGTGATGCCCTGCCCTTGGAGACCGGGCTGAGGGTGGCCCCGATGTGCTGGGGGTCAGGGAGGGGCCGGGGGGACACAGGTGGGCGCTCTGGGAATTGAGGAGAAGGAGAGGGTACGAGGTGTGGGCTAGCAGAGGAACCAACAGCACTCTGGGTACATGGGCTCCAAGGACGGAGGAGGGACCCAGAGGACCCTCAGATTGGAGGCCCGTGAGAGCTGCCACCCACATCCCTGTCCTCTGCACTGTGGTCCCTGTTTGTTTCCGTCTCAGCCTTGTCCAAGCAGGAGCTGGCGACCTTGTTTACTTACCCCTGCATTCACTTGCTTCCCCACTGCAGCGTGAGTGCTGTGCTTGGTACACAGTAGTGCTCAGTGCATGCTTGTTGCAGATGAGAACGGTGGTGCCAACCCACAGGGCTGCAGTAGGACTCACTGCCTGCATGCAGCAGGTGCCCAGTAAGGGCTGTGACGTGTTTCCTGTCTCAACTATCCAGTCTTCCGGTCGGTTGGTGGTGGGCCTGGGTAGCTGTGGGTCCGAGGCTCGGGATGGACTCCTGTTTATCAGAAGCTCCAGGCGGAGCGGGCGAGCAGAACAGAGGCAGGGGTGTTGTGCACGGCACAACTGCAGGCTGCAGTGCTCACGCGGGGAAGCTTCTGCCCGGCACCAGGAGCCTGCCCACCTTCGCCCCTGGGGCCTCCCCCATGTCTGTGAGTGGCAGAGGCAACGTCCTGCTGTCTCTACAAGACAGGCGTGCACGTGCATGTGGATTAGGAACGTCTTCCATGGAGGACGGTGAGGGAGCTGGGGGATGAGGCGAGAGCTCCCCCCGCCCCCGGCATTCAGCACACGCTGCTGGCCCCAGGGTTCCCAGAGCCATGGTCGTGAGGCGGTAGGAGTTCCGTCAGAGTGGGCTCTCCATCTCCCAGGAGAAAGATCTAGGTGGTGACGGGGCGCTGTGGAGATTCACAGACCGGGGAGAGGGCATCCCAGAGGCCAAGGGGTGAAGGTGTTGTGGAGCCAGGCACATGCTCATATTTCCATGGCTGTTAAATTCATTTCCACTTGGTGGGGGCCGCCAAGGTGGACCTCAGTTCCTGGGAAGAGCTGAGGGTCCGTGATGTGCGTCAACCCTTAAATCTGATGCTTCCCTCCTTCTCCAGGCAGAGGCCATTGTGATGGTGATGAGAATTTCCAATTATCTATGATTGCAAAGAAAGAGCACATTCTTGGTTTAATATTAGTGTTTCGTGTGTGGTTTTATTCCCCAAAACATCTTCTCTATAAGAGCACTTCGAGAACCGTCTCTGGAGGTGGGTGCCGGGTCTCCTCTCCCAGAGGGTGCGAGAAGTGCCGAGGTAAACATCGCTGGATGTGTGGGTTTTACCTGCAGGATTTCTCACAAGACTTACTGCTTGTGTTCCCCTGAAGTTGTTAGAGGGACAGAGAATGTGGCTCTCCCTCACCGTTTCGAACACCAGAGACACCAGTCCAGGGAGCCCTGCTTACAACACGTTGCGGGAGCCAGAGTCTCAGGCCACACGGCGTGGGCAGCATGGGCAGGTGGCGCCAGGACCACATTCGTGTTCGCCTTCCTGGGCTGTCTGATGAATCTGAGTGCCGCCGGCCAGCCTGTCTGCACAGGGGGAAGCTGGGGGCCCAGATCCTGGGATGTGGCCGAGAATGTTGCTGTAGGAACACAGGGCCCCCGTGCATTCCTCCTGTTTAGGGAAGTCGTGGGCAAACAGGAGGTGACGAATGGGGGCTCGCCCCCTCCTGCATGTAGGGCTGCAGGCTCCAGGCTGCTCCTTCCCCGCCTCCATTCGGTCAAGGCTCTGAAGTGTTTTGTAGCCCCTGGGGAGTGAGTTGACCAGCGGTGACTCACAGATCTGGAAGAAATAAAGCCCATTAAGTTGTCCATCCTCAGGCGCAGTCCCGCTGGCTCCCAAATTGCCCTGCACAATCCACTTACTGTCCCCAGTCTGTGGAGTTGGAGCCTCCGGACGCTCTCAAACATCCTGAGCTGCCTCCTTTTGTTCCTGATTACATCCTGATGAGAGGGCCAGGGGGCGGCCTAGCCGAGGCGAAGGCCCCAGGGTGTCGAGGCCGAGGTTGGAGGGACCTTGATGTCTGGTGTCCGGGGCGGCGGGGGCGGCGTGGGTGGGGGGGGGGGGGGGGGGGGCAGACATCGGCGATGGGCAGGGGCTCTGAGGCGCACACAGCCCGAAGCCTCAGCAGGAAGCACAGTAGCGACCTCTGCAGGGCCAGGCGTGGGGAAGCGGGTCTCCTCGGCCCGCGGCTCAAGGAGCCCAGGGGTCAAGTGAGTGTGATCTGAGGCTCCAGCTCCCGGACCTGAATGAGCCACCATTTGGGGTTGTGCTGCTAGGTGAGCTGTGGCTTGTGTCACCGTCCTTTGTGGCTTTGCATCTGATTCGTTTACCAAGTTCCTCTCTGTGCCAGTGGATGTCGGGATGATAGCCGACTCTACACGAACTCTCAGACGGCTCAGCTCGTGTCCCTGGCTCGCCTCTACACACTTCAGACCTGTACATCCAGGGGATCCTCAGGGAGGAGTCAGCCCTTCTCCCAGGTCTTAAACTGCCCTCCTATGGCTCCTAGGTCCGCGTCTAAATCCACCCCGGATGCTGCAGGCTAGACTAGGAGGCACGGCTGGGTGGCGGGAGTGGGGATGGGTTGGGAGGGCAGGAGTTAGGCATCAGCAGGACAGAAGCCGGAGGGTGGAGGAATCTGCGTGTGGCCCTTCGGGTGGAGCATTCCAGCGTAAATCCAAGGGCTGACCCAAGGGACTGGACCTCGTCGGTGGTGGTAGCAGGGCATGTGGGGGGAGAGGCAGGACCTGGTGATCCCCACCACATGCACGCCGGGACAGCGGCTCCCTGGGAGTCAGCTGTGCACCAGCCCTGGGACCCTCGCCAGTGGGAGCCCGGTCACCTCCAGGACCTGGACCAGCGAGGACACCTCTGCTCTGCTTCCCACACAGCTCACACGTGAACACCAGATGGCGCTCTCGTCCATCACGTACATCGGCTGCTCCGTGTCCCTGGTCTGCCTGGTGCTCACGCTGGGCACCTTTGCCATGCTATCGTGAGTCATCCTCTGCTCTCTCCCGTGTCCGTGTCCGGGGAGGTCTGGTGCTCTTGGGTAAATGTCAGTGCAAGCCTGCGCCACTTCGGTTTCCCGCCCGGTATGTGTCCTTGGGAGGTGGCGAAGGCCTGGCCTTGTTGAGAACCTGCACATGGTGCATTCCAGCTGGAAAGCTGTTCCAAAGTCACCTTTCATCTTGAGATCTGGGGTGCAGGGAGGGGTTGGGGTGTTGGAGAAGAGAGGAGGGAGGCAGGAGGGCACCCTGCTTTAGTTAAGCTGGAAAGTTCTGGAAGGGTCACCAGCCCACAGGCTTTCTGGCCCTTGGGCAGGCAAGAGCCAGAACGGAGGACCCCTTACCCGAAGACAACAAAGTCACAGCCCTGTGGGGGAGGGGGGGGTTCCCTGGTGTCAGCTGGAGAGGCAGGAAGGCTCTTTCCCAGGAGGCCCCCTGCCCCTCCCGCTGAAGCCACATGTGGTCAGAGCTCAAGGGAATCTGTGCATCCCCAGGGGAGGGTGGCAGCTGAGTCCCTCTGTGGCCCTTTCTGAACTGGGATAGAAAACTGAAGTCTGTGTGGACAGATGACTGTAAGGACACACTGGCTGCTGCTCAGGGCTGTTGGCCTCACACTGGACAGGGTCCCCTCCCTCTGGGGGTGCTTGGGAGCTTGTTTCCTCTCCCTGTCCTGTGCAAGGGAGGTGAGGCTCCGGGGGTTCCTCCTGGAGCCCAGCACCCCTCCTCACCTGCTCTGGTTCCCTGAGGACACCTGGCACCTGGCCTGGCTGTGACTGTGGGCTCCCGGGGTTGGGGGCTGCAGCACGATCTGCAGGGAGAGGCCCTCAACTCCCCCAGAACTCCAGGGACTGTGGGGGGCAGGGGTGGCAGCAGCTGAGCCTGGCAGGAGGAGCCCGCACCAGCGTTGAGCTGAGACGTTCATTCTTTGGCTCCCCTGTCCCCCAGCTTTGCTCAGGAAGCCCGCCACAGCCAGGTGGACTGCTCTGAGGACAGGACCCAGAGGGGGCGGCGGGGGCGGGGGGGGCAGGAGCCAGTGCCCAGAAGCAGAGCACACACTTGGGCCAGCAGAAGTCCTCTCCCAGGGAGGCACGGCTGGTGTGAAGGCCACAGCCTGGAGAGGACTGGGGTGCTTGTGAGCCAGAATGGGGCATCGTGAGCCGGAGCAGGAGCAAGGAACAGGCTGAGTCCGAGCAGAGGCCGGAAGGGGGAAGCAGCGGGCAGGCTGTACAGGAGCTGATTCCTTTCCAAGAGCAATAGGGAGCCGTTGAGGAGTCAGAGACAGCATCTGGGCGGGCTCTGTAAAGGCCTCTTTGGCAGCCTTGGGGGGCTGGTAGGGAGCAGCAGTGGGCCTGGGCCTCGGACGCCCCTGCCTCTCTGCCCTCAGCTCTGTCAGCACCATCCGGAACCAGCGCTGCCACATCCACGCCAACCTGTGCTTCGCCATCCTCGTGGCCCAGATCCTGCTGCTGGTCAGCTTCAGCTTCAAGCCTGGCACAGTGAGTAGGCCCTCTCTGTCCCTCTCCTTCCTCCCTCTGATGTCACTGGGGCTGGCACCCTCTGCTAGTTTCTTCAACTCAGAATTCAGGCCACATCCCCCAGATAGTCGGGCAGGGGCTCGTCCAGGAGAGGCACAGAAGAAAGCCTGCCTGAGCTGGGTTCTCTGCCCACCATCCGCTCAGCAGCAGAGTCGCTGGCTCTCCTGCTCTGTGTCAGCTCACCGTCCAGCCCCGGTGGGGTGCCGGGCATGGTGCGGAGAGCGGACACCGAGCAGCCCTCTGGTCCTGGAGACAGGCCCTCCGGGGCAGTGCCCTAGCCTCTTGCTTCTAGATGTGGCAGTGGGTGACAGACGACTCTGGTAAGGGTCAGCCCCCCACAGTCTTGCCTTTCACTGCTGCACTGACCACAAACCCCCAGCCACCTCTGCTTGCTGTGGGCGAGAGGAAGAAGACCCAGGCCCACCTTTTCCCTGCCCTTTGTACTGGGGATGTAGGAAGTCTTAAAACCCCAGAAGGTTAAGGGCTAAAACTGAAATGACCCAGGCTTGGGGTGGGAAGGAGAAGCAGACTCCCACTTGCTCCCACCGGGAGAGAAGGAGAAGCGGGTTCTGGGGAACAGAGCAGTACAGGTCGGTAGTTTCAAAACTCACACAGGATCGGCTGACGCAGAGTGAGCGCTTTATCCTACAATAGTGAGGGTCAGCAGAACTTCCGGTCCTCTCTGCCGCAGGGTCCTCAGCCCCCATCTGTCTGTCCTGGGGCTGCTGCCCAGGGAGAGATCCACCCTCCTGGGCTGCAGGATTCCCCCTCGCAGGTTTAGGGGCGCGGAGGGGCATCTAAAGCCCCGCATGAACCGTGGAGGGACCAGGCATGCGCCAGCCTCCTTCTCTGGATGAGTCAGCCCTCCGGGTTTTCTTACAACACAGACTTGGGTTTGTAGCTCTGGGCGGGGCCTGGAATTCCGAATTTCCATCAGGCATTCAGGGGATGCGGATGCTGCCTGTACAAGCAACCTCCCTGCCCCCCCTGCCCCCCCCCCGGCCCTGGGAGGGATGAGGCCCCACCGCGGGAAGGCCGCGGGAGGGGAAGCAGGTCTGCGGAGGCTCCGGGCTCCCATCACCCTAGCGGGGACCCCGGGTCAACGCGTGTCTGAAGCCCCGGGGCAGGGCTCCGAGCAGTCCTGCTCGAGGAAGGTGCCTGTGGGATGAGGCCCGCGGAGGACGGAGAGTGACCTCGGGGTCCAGTCCCAGAGCGGCTGGTGGGCGGGGACACCCACGGGAAGGGGCCGCAGGGACGAGCGCTGCGCACGTGACACCTGACTCAGGCGCGCACGTGGGGCAGATTAGGGACCTCCAGCTACGGCTGGGAGACGAGGTGCCGGGGACACGATGCTGTCCCGGGAATGAGCTGGTATCTCGGGGAGTCTGGGACAGCAGAGCGTGGGTGCCCGACAAAAATCACACCGTCCCTGGGCTTCTGTCTTTAACTCTTTTATTTTTCCCTCCTTTCTATTATTTTAAGTTTTGAAGGTGGTATTTAAACCTATTATTATTTTTCCTCCCGCCCATCATTCCGCCCCCTTCCCGACCCCATGTAGACCCCGGGGCCACCAGACGGGGCGCAGGTCCGGCTTAGGGACGTGCTCGCAGCTGCCAGGCCCACGTGTCTGCAAAGCCCAGCTCCCCGGCTCGCTCCCTGGCGGCTCCGCCCATTCCCCAGAGCCCACCCCATTGGGCTCGTCTGCTCACGTGCCCAGCCCGAGCCAATCCTGCTTCAGAAGACCAGAGCCTTTATGCTGATTGGCCGGGCCTGATTCCCTGCGCTCTCCTGAACCAATCACTGTGCCGGAGCCGCCGGGACTAGAAAGGGAGCCAGGGCCCCTCCGCTGCTCTCAGTTGTGGGGGGAAATGAGGGCACGTGACCAGAGATGCCGGGAACCGCCCACTGCTCACACCCAGAGAGATGTGCCCTCTGTGTCTTTGATCCTAGGTCCCCTGCCAGGTGATGGCCATGCTCCTGCACTACTTCTTCCTGAGCGCCTTTGCGTGGATGCTGGTGGAAGGGTTGCATCTCTACAGCATGGTGATCAAGGTCTTTGGCTCAGAGAACAGCAAGCACCACTACTACTATGGGATAGGATGGGGTAGGTGGGGATGGGAGGGGGCCGCTGGGGATGGGAGGGGGCCGGTGGGGATGGGAGGGGGCAGCTGGGGATGGGAGGGGGCCGGTGGGGATGGGAGGGGGC